AGCCTGGGCAACTCTACAACAAATCAAAAAAATTAACTGGGCATGGTAGTATGCGCCTATAGTTCAAGCTACTTGGAAAATTGAGGTGGAAGGACCACCTGAGCCCAGCAGGTAGCGGTTGTGGTAGATTTGGAGGAAAAAAAAACAACAAAACAACCAAAATGCTTGAAGTCTTCACTTTTTTTAAAAAAATGAGTGGGAGTCTCACTCTTATCGCCCAGATTGGAGTGTGGTGGCACCATCATGGCTGTCTGCGTCCTCCACCTCCTTACCACCATGCCCGGCTAATTATTATTATTTTGGTGTGTGTCTGGAGACAAGGTCTCGTTATGTTTCCCAGACTGAAGTGCGGTGACACTGTCAATGGCTGACTATAGCCTCAACCTCCTAGGCTCAGATGATCCTTCTGACTCAGGTGCAGCCATCATGCCCGGCTAATTTTCCTTTTTTTCATAGAGATGAGATCTCACTATGTTGTCTATGCTGGTCTTGAACTCCTGGGCTCAAGCAATTCTCCTACCTTAGCCTCCCGAAAGTGTTGGGATTACAGGCATGAGCCACAGCAGATGGCCTCCAAACTCTTTTTCTTCACTTTCAATCCATACCTATTAGAAACCAAGTATATTAATCATTGTTCTCCGAGGAATAGAACCAATAGGAGATAGATATGTAATATATAAATACACGTATCATGCATATTATATATATGAGGCTTGGTTCATGTGCTTATAGAGGCCTAGAAGTCCCACCATCTGCTGTCTGCATGCTGGAAAACCGGGAGAACTGGTGGTGTAATTCAGTCTGAGTCTGAAGTCCCCAGAATCAGGCGTTCCAATGGCTGAGGGCATGGGAAAGTTGACATCTCAGCTCAAGGAGAGAATTTGCCCTTCCTCACCTTTTCACTCTAGGCCCTCAGTGGTTTCTGTGATGCCCATCCACATTGGTGAAGGTGCATCTTCTCATCTACTAATTCTACTTAATAACAGTAGCTAATCTCTTCTCAGAACGCCCTCACAGTCACATGCACTCGCCAGCTATCTGGGCATCCCTTAGCCCAGTCAAGTGGACACTTAAAATTAACCATCACACCAAGTCTGGACACTTAGAGAGTTCTCTGATGAAACTATAGAGAAGACTCCCTCCTGCTATAGGGAGGGCAACAGGGTCTAACTCCTCTGCAGGAGAAGGAAGATGTGTTACAGAGGAAGAGAGGGAGAGAAGTAATTCCTCTTCAGCCCCAGAACTATGGGAAGAAGAAAGGAGGTGGGAGACAAAACAGTCAGATGTGTGTCCTGACTGTGTATGAGGTAACTCGGGGAAACACCCAGGGCAAGAGTGCCTTGTTCTCCCCGACTGCCCATTTGAGAATCAAGAAGAGGCTTCCTGTGGGCCACCTCATATCAACCCTCATGGGGCCAGCATGGCCAGGTAGAGGGAGGTCATGAGATTTAACTGTAGAGTCACCGCAAGTTTCCACGTAGGGTCCTGCGATCCAGGAGTCTCTGAGAATCTGGCTGGATCCATAGAGCAGGTGAGGTGGGGGGAGAACCACAGGATGGGCCAGGACTCAGTAGAAGTCACGGCCAGCAGTCAGAAGACCAGGTGGTGCAGGGAGGACCAGGGGAGGCTGAGTCAGAGAAGACGATCAGAGGAGAGCTGACACCATGGATCACCACGGACCTCAGCTGCACTGCCAGCAATGCCAAAAGCAACCAGGGGGACAAGAGTCACAGAGGTGGACACAGTCCCAGGATCAGAGGGTCGAGCAACCCCCCCTCCCCCACCTACATATATACCCCAGTCCACATCTTAGAGCTGAATGGGTGAGAAATCCGGTAAACTGAACTTTTCTTTTCCTACATGGACTAATATCACTGAAGGCAGCGGTCCCCAACCTTTTTGGTGTCAGGGGCTGGTTTCATGGAAGACAAATTTTCCATGGACAAGGGATGGGGAGGATCATCAGGCTAGATTCTCATACAGAGCGTGCAACCAAGATCCCTCATCCCTCGCATGCGGTTTGTAGTAGCCGTGCTTCTGTGAGACTAATGCCACTGCTGATCTGACAGTGGCGGACCTCCGCTCACCCGCCACTCATCTCTTGCTGTGCGGCCCAGTTCCTGACAGGCCACAGACCAGTACTGGTCCGCAGCCCTGGGGGTTAGAGGACCCTTGACTTAAGGGACTGTTAACATGACTGGATCAGATTCCGTTTAAATCAGGAAGGATTTAAAAGTGAGGTGTTCTGTTCAACCTCACTAGTCATCAAGGAGATGCAAATTAAAACCACACGGAGATACCACCTAAGTCCAGTCAGAATGGCCATCATCAATAACTCAAAAAATAACAGATGCTGGACAGGATATGGTGAAAAGGGAACACTTCTACACTGTTGATGGAAGTGCAAACTAGTGCAGCCTCTGTGGAAAGGAGTGTGGTGATTCCTAAAAACCTCTAAAAATCAACCTCCCATTTGACCCTGCAATCCCCCTACTGGGAATATACCCTGAAGAACTCAAATCACTTTATGAAAAAGATACCTGCACACATATGTTTATCGCAGCATTGTTCACAATAGCAAGAACCTGGAACCAACCATGCTGTCCATCAAAAGAGGACTGGATTTTAAAAAGTGGTACATATACACGATGGAATATTACAAAGTCATAAAAAAAATCATGAATTTCACAGCAACCTGGATGGAATTAGAGTTTATAATACTGAGTGATCTGTCACAGAAACAAAGATCTGAGTATCACATGTTCTCACTCATAAGTGGACCTTGAACAACTATCGTAATACTATAAGAAAAGGATTGACAGTGGCGGGCAACTATGGCAGGGGGCAGGGGGAGGAAGGGAAGTGGGATTAACAAGGGTACCTACACAATGCATATTTGTATACCTAGCCCTTAACTGTACCCCACAATTTTAAAATAAAAAATAAGTTTAAAAAAAAGTGAGGTGTTCTTACTTCTCACCAGCAGGCGGGGACCAAGGAAGAAGGCTGGGTTAGTTAACAAAGGAGCTACAATGTCTCCATACTTCTGAGATGTGGTGCCAGTTAAACTCGGAATCAGGCTAAATAAATGTAAAAATCAATGACAACACAGACTACTAAATGCTATGACAAGAAGAATAGGGTGCCGTGAGAGCTCCATGCTAATTGCTGTATTGGATCAGACCCACAGAGCAACCAGCCCAGGATCTAGGCTTCCCAGTGAAACCGTGGCACATCTGCTGAGGACTTGAGTGAGGGAGCATGGTTGATCCCGTTTTGGCAAGTGGAAAACTAAGAGTCTTCCTTGAAGTATCACCAGCTTCTCATCGGAGCCCATATGCATTTGGCAACCTTGATTTCTCCAACTCTTCTTAAAATGTGTATACATCCATACCACCTCTTGCAGGCTTTAAGTCTCCAGAGAGGATATTTCTGGAGTTGTATGTGTTAGCATCCAATTTTGGAGCGTTAGAAAGAATGACATGAGAGAGGTTCTGTCCGTGCATCAGAATCTTCCTCTCCGGATTCTTTTTCCCTTTGAGAAGAAAAATAAATATACTTTATTTGTGTGCAAGGTTTAGATAGTAAGTATGGCTTGGCTCAGGATGACTCAAAACATACATTTTATGGCCAGGTTCGGTGGCTCAGCCTGTCATCTCAGCACTTTGGGAGGCTGAGGCGAGTAGATTGTCTAAGCCCACAGGTTCGAGACCAGCCTGGGCAACTTGACGAGACCTCACCTCTACAATAAATCAAAAATTAGCCAGACGTAGTAGCACATACCTGTAGTTCTGGTTACTTGGAAGGCTGAGGTGGGAGGATCGCCGAAGCCCAGCAGTTCGAAGCTGCGGTGGCCATGACACTGCACTCCAACCTGGGCAACAGTGAGACTCCAACTCAAAACAACAACAACAACAACAACATAAATTGTATATCCTTGCATTCCATTCTTCTCTTGTGCCTGGATAATAACTCGGGCAGACCCCATGAATTTTCTGGTCTCTCTGAAGCAAGTAAGAATAAGTCCTTGGTCAGTAATTAAAATATCTAGTTCCCTTTCATAATCAAAGCTTTAGACACAGTTTAGTGATCAATGTTTCACCCTTTTCCAGCTCCGGCCTGCTGAGAAAAGAAAAGAGGAGTGCTGACTTGCTCTCCTCTCCTCATTTCTATTTCTTATCGTTCCTCTTCCCAAATTGATAAAGGGGGGAAAGAGGGAGGGAGGAAAGCAGGAAAGTTATTTCTTGATCTGTATTGCCATGCATCAGCATCTGCTCTCTGGCCCTGCCAAGGTGTTTCTCTGGCCTTTTTTTTTTTTTTTTGAATTGGAGCGCTGTGGCATGCTTATGGCCACTGCAACTTCAATTTGCTCAGATCAGGCAATCCTTCTGCCTCAGCCTCCAAGTAGCTGGAACCACAGGTGCGGACCACCATGCCCAGCTATTTTTTTTTTTTTTTTTAATTTATTGTAAAGAATGAGGTCTTGCCAAGTTCCCCAGGCTGGTCTCGAACCCTGGACTCAGGCAATCTTCTCAGTTCCGTCTCCCAAAGTGCTGGGATGACAGGCACGCACCACCACACCCGGCCTTCTCTGACTTTTTTTGTTGTGGATTCTTTGGAAACCCTTCTCCCTTCCCTGAGAGGGAGAGAGAGTGAGGGAGAGAGGAATATATGGAGAAAAAGAGAGACAGAGAGAGAGAGAAGAGAGGAGAGAGAGAGAGAGGGGAGAGAGAGAGAGAGAGAGAGAGAGAGAAAGCGTCTGGTACAGTTGGATCTAGAAAAAAGACTTGTATCAAGATGAAGTCAGCAAGTGGGTATCTTCCTGTTTCTGCACAGTTAGGACTTTCTGAGCAAGTTTTACTGGATCCTGGGTTAAAGAGTAAGCCTTGAAAGTTAAATTATCACTATGCCTGAATAGATAATGAAAGAACTCTAGAGAAATTTACCTCCCGGGAGGTATGTGCTTTCATTTCAAGAGGGTCCTGGGGTAAATCCTGGAGCCAAAAAACAGTCTAAGAGTTGTAAACTAGGAGAACCTTCTCTCATCTTCCCCCTGGAGACACTTATTTACATTCCAAAAGGCCTCTCAACCCAAGGAAACTTTGTGTACACCAGGGTTTCTCTCCCTTTCTCAGAAGGGGAAAGGAGAAAACTGTCCCTCTCATACATAAGCCCTCAGATTCATAATTGGGGGGAGGAGGCTTTCTCTCCTGCAGTGCAGAATTTGGTATATATAGGGCGATATCTGACTCTCGTCATATCATCCGGGAAGTTGGGGCCAAGGAACTTGTTAGGGTAAACTGAGGCGGTGTATGGGCCGGTGCCTTGGGAATAAAGCAAAGACCTGCAAAGGTAAAGCAAAAGAGTTTATTTCCGCCCCAGGATGAATGGAGTCTACACTAAGAGATAGTGCTGCAAGAGAGGTTGAGGAAGGAAAGCTTTTAAAGTTTTAATAAAGGAGACAGGGTAAGGAAAACTCTCCAGCAGCTGCATTCCTAAGTATTGATAACACAGGTCTTGTGTCTTTGGCGTTGTCAGGACAATCAGTCCTGTGACCTCAGGGCCTTCAGCTTCTGGTGGACTGAGGGCAGTCACGAAAAGGTTGATTACAGTTAAGTCAGCTTGGTCTTGTATGGCTGGTGAGCAAAGGCCTAGAAGAGACATACTTGGGAGATGCTAAACAATGATGAATAGCTGCCTCCAGAAAGCTGGTTCTGTCCTTGGCTACTAATTAGGAACTGGGGAATGGGACAGACAGCTAGAAAAATATGACAAAACTTAAGCATAATGCCAAAATGGCTGTTCTTTAGCTAAGTTACTCTGTTTGACATCACCCTTTCAGAACCATATGGTTCTTGATGTGAATTATAATAGCTTTGAAGTGTGTTCAAGAAACTTCTTATTTGCATTCATGATAATATAAATAAATGTAGTTATTAAAAACTCATTAGCCGTAGAAAAAGGACTGTGCATGGCTCTTCACTGGAGAATATGACTCTGTTGGTAAAAAGATTAATGTGATACTAGACTGCATTGATGATTTAACATTGGCTGTGCTACGTAAATATATCAAGGGAAATAAACGTTAGTCCAATATTCAGCACTAACCTGATGCAATCATTTCCCGGGATACATTTTGATAAAAACTGAGACACTAGAGTGTCTCCCCTCCAGAGGAGGTAGCCAGAGAAGCGGTGGGCTTGGAGACCATGTCGTTGTTACAGCCTGACTGCCCAGAAAAACTGTGACTGATGGTAGCTGTTACAGTAGAGAGTTTAGAGCAAAGCAACTGAGTAAGGAAGATGGGAGATATTTCTCAAATCTGCCTCCGCAAGAATTCAGAGGCTAGGGGTTTTTTGTTGTTGTTGTTTGTTTTGTTTTGTTTTTGAGTCAGAGTCTCACTCTGTCACCAAGCCTGGAGTGCAGTGGCATGCTCACGGTCACCACTGCCTCGACCTGCTGGGCTCCAGTGATCCGTCCACCTCAGAGGCTAGGGTTTTTAAAGGAATTTGGTGGTCAGAGGGCTAGGGACTGATGATTGGTTGAAGATGATGTCATGGGGGGTGTTGAAACTGTCTTGATGTTATAGAACCAGTTTCTGGGAGGGGGCATCCCAGGACCAGTGGAGCCAGCTTCTTGGTATGTGTCCAGGGTCCAGGGGAGAGCTCGGGTCCATCAGAGCACAACATCTGAAAAACATCTTAAACACCGTTCTTAGGTTTTATAACAGAGACAGTGTCTGTTGAGCAAGTCCTGTGACCTTGGGCTACTGACTCCTGGGGCAGTAAGTCATCACAGAGATAGCATAGGAGAAAGGTGTGTGGGAGGTGGCGTCCCTGGAGATCAGAACCGCTCATACCCTTCAGCTGATCAAACTCCTGGATATCATCAAGGAGACCTCTGCAGTCTTGGGCTCACTGTTTAAGGGAAAATATGTTTATTAGCCTCACGGGCAGCTTCCTCCCTCCCTGGCTCAATGCAGATAATCAATAGCTCTTTATTGTTTTGAAAGCAAACTTAGAAACGACACATTTGTTCAGTTCTAATCATAGCTGCTCCTTTCTCTGTTTCTTCCACAGTTTTTATCCCGTGGCCCTATATTAATTTTTATTTTTTGAGTTGGAGACTCACTCCATCACCCAGGCTGGAGTGCAGTGGCACACTCATGGCCAACCCAGCCAACTTGCTAGTCTTCAGTGACCCTTCCGCCTCAGCCTTCCAAGTAGCCAGAACTACAGGCCTGCGCTACCACGCCCGGCTAATTTCTGATTTATTGTAGAGATGAGGTCTCGCCAGGTTGCCCGGGCTGGTCTCGAACCTGCGGGCTCAGGCAATTCACTCACCTCAGCCTCCCAAAGTGCTGGAATTATAGGCTGAGCCACTGTATATTAATTTCATATAGTCAGTTTCATCATGTGAGCAAAGGTTGAAGCGTCTAAGGAATTTATTCCAGAGAGTTATCATATGCATGAGAGAAAAAAATTACTTTCAACTGCTTGGAACAAATGGCTCACACTTATGGAGAGACAGATTTTAGCTTCTTAGAGAGAGGAATTTTTCCAACAAAGATGTTCAGTATCGCAGTGAGTGTTTTGAAAAGCAGAGAGCTCTCTCGTCGTTGGAAGAGTTTAAGTGGCAGCTGGGACGGCCATCTGTTGGAGAGATTGCAGAGGAAATCTGTGCTCCTAGCGGGAGGTTGGTCTGATGGATCTTTCAGGATCCTACCCCTCTGTGTCTCCACAAAGTTGAACTGATCTTCGTCTGAATATATTCTCTTTTTGGCTATGGTTCTACAAAGTTCCCTTCCTTGACCGCCTGCTTAATTCTCAGAGTTGTTTTAACTTCCAGACTTCACGTCAAGACTCTATCACTTGCTTTTTGATATCTGGTCTATTGCCAGTTGGGATACTTATACCGCCTACTTTTGGGGTTATTACAGTGATTAAATGAAATGGTAACACCTGCAACACCTGCACTTTGTAAAGCAGCTCTCAGGACAGAACCTAGCAGGCACTCAATACATGATGGCTGTTGTTGGTTTATTCATATCTTAGTCTATGTCTCTATTTTTTTTCACTTGGCTATCTACACATTCTTCACATCACAGTTAGTTTTCACTTACATGCATCATATTTTCAGTGAGTTTGAGTCTCTTCACATGGCAAGGAGTCATTTGGCAAATTATATTTTTATACCTTTGCTTATTTTAAAATCACTTTCCTACTATATTCTATTATTTGTTAGTCATTTTATAAGACCTCTTTATATAATAGTGTTTTTCTTTTATATTAGCTGTAAATCTTTTCCTGGCTTATTCTTTGTCTTTGGACTACATACCTTTTGACATGTAGCAGGTTTGGGTTTTTGCTTTTTTGTTTTTCTTAAAGACAGAATCTTGCTTTGTTGCCTGGCTGGAGTGTAGTGGTGTGATCACAGTTCATTGCAACCTTGATCTCCTGGCCTCAAGCAAGCCTCCGGCCTCAGTCTCCCAAGTAGCTGGAACTACATGCTACCCTGTCTGCTTGATTTTTGTATTTTTTTTTTTTTTTTTTTGTGGAGATGAGGTCTTGCTATATTGCCCGTGCTGATCTCAAACTTCTGACCTCAAGCCATTCTCCCATCTTGGCCTCCCAAACTGCTGGGATTACAGGCGTGAGTCACCACGTCTAGCCTGTTGTTTTTAATATGGTAGAGTTTATCAAATTTTCCATTCATGTAGTGTCCATGGTCTCTATCTCTATCTTACAACAAAGGGTGATGAAAAGTTACAATTCCTTGCACTGGCATTATGAAATGAAAATGTCTGATGTTGCTGTAGACACACACGGTGAACTACTACATCAAGCTGCTTCCTCATTATGCTTTTATTTTAGTTATTTTTTAATTTTTGAGTTGGAGTCTCCATCACCTAGGCTGGAGTGCAGTGGCACACTCACGGCCACCCCAGTGTCGACCTGCTGGACTCTGGTGATCCTTCCACCTCAGCCTTCCAACTAACTGGAGCTACAGGTATGCACTACCATGCCCAGCTAATCTTTGATTTATTGTAGAGAGGAGGCCTCACCAAGTTGCCTGGGCTGGTCTCGAACTCGCAGGCTCAGGCAATCCACTCGCCTTGACCTCCCAAAATGCTAGGATTACAGGCTGAGTCACTGAGCCCAGCCCACAATATGCTTTTAGAAGTGACTTGTTCTTGAGAATAATTTCCCAGTGTCCCTGCGGCTAAAGAATGGCTTCTCGTAACATCTGATCATATACACAGCTTGAGGGTCTTTCATAGCCAAGTCAGTACAGAGGCTTCACTACAAGGTGTTCCAACAGACTGGAACCATTGCCACTATTGTCCTCATCTACCAGTAATAATTAGGCTGCCAGCCAAGCCACACACCTACAGCAATAGGGATGCTGAGTCCCTGCTGCTTCAATAAAAAATCTGAATCAGCTGGCAGAAATGTAAACATTTTAGCCCCATCTCTGGGCCAGTCACTGAAGGGAGGCAACTGCTATATTTGAGAAAATACTGGACCTGGTGTCAGAAGGTCTGGTTTATTCAGTTCAATTCCGTTCACACTTCCCAATCTTCTAAGAATGCCAGACACTCTGCTTAGCTTCCAGATGCAACGAAGAACATATCAGTCTTCCTTAAAGGAGCTCATAAGCCGGGCTCGGTGGCTCAGCCTGTAATCCCGCGCCTTTGGGAGGCTGAGGTGAGTGGATTGCCTGAGCCCGCGGGTTCGAGACCCGCCTGGGCAGAGAGACCTCATCTCTACAATAAATCAAAAAATCAGCTGGGCGTGGTAGCGCGCGCCTGTAATTCCGGCTACTTGGAAGACTGAGGCGGAAGGATGGCCAGAGGCCAGCAGGTCGAGGCTGCGGTGGCCGGGAGCGGCCACTGCACTCCAGTCTGGGCGACAGAGTGAGACTCCAACTCAAAAAAAATAAAAATAAAAAAAAAATAAAGGAGCTCATAGTCCAATGGAGGAAATAGGATAATTAGTGACTACAGGGGAGTTAACATCCAAATACACAGAATATGTTTTGAAAATACAGGGAAGAAACCCAACACCTTGAGAGGACAAGC